TAGGTATTTTTCAAGGTCCTCCAGACAACTCTATGGTCTGGAGGTCATTTATTTCAATAGGGTTCACCATTATCCATGGCTTCGTTTATGCATGCCTAACATGATTCCTCACCTCTAGGCATTTTTTCGGTCCTCCGGTATGACCCTGTGACACTCTTATGTAAGAAGTTCTTCATTTTGATAAAGTTTTGTTACGCGAAGTCTGGGAAGCTACCACAGAGGTTGGGATTCCATTGCGTTTTTGAACTAAGGAAGAATTACTGACTCTACAGACTTCTTGAAAAGGGAGCCATTTGCGGCATCTCCGGCCTCCGAGGTCTCTGTCTAAAATGGCAATCTATTTATGAATCCTGGCGTCCGGAAGGGCCTCAGGCCGCCCTCGGAGCAGCTGCTGGACGTCTGACCGGTTGCAGAGGAGGAGGAGGATGCTCAAAGTGAGGGACCGGGAAACAGGCAGTGGACCACCTTCCTCTGAAAAAGGACCAGGTCCAAGAAATATATACATCAAAGTATGTATATCGGCTTGTTTGTTTGTACTACGGAAGATGTTGCCAGGTGAAGTGGCCCTAGCAGATATATTACGATGATAGGCAAAACGTCAGGAGAGAATGCCTCTAGAACATGGCCATGCAGCCCGAAAAAACCTACAACAACCCGATAATGATAGGACCGTAGGCCTCCCCTGGGGCTGAAATACCCTCAACAACAACAGCAACAACAACAACATACCCTGAAGTCGATGGATTCCAATTGATTCAAGAAGCACAGCAGGGTCAACCCTGTTTACTATAATAATAATAATAATAATAATAATAATAATAATAATAATAATAATAATAATAATAATAATAATAATAATGGGATCTGCACGCATTATTCGCCGATACATCACATAGTCCTAGACACTTGGGAAGTGTCTGACGTGTGATCCAATTCAACAGCCAGTGTCTGCTGTGGACTCATCTTGTTGTGTTTCAAATAATAATAATTAATAATAATAATGGCATTTTAATAAAATAAAATTACCATCTCCCAGCTGCAAAAGGCCACCTTACTGAGATCTGCACGCATTATTTGCTGATACATCACACAGTCCTAGACACTTGGGAAGGGTCCGACGTGTGATCCAATACAACAGCCAGCAGAGTGTCAGCTGTGGACTCATCTTGTTGTGTTTCAAATAACAACAATGATATATCCTGCTGGATTCCGATTGATTCAGAATGCATAGCAGGGTCAGCGCTGGTGAGAATAATATACCCTGAGGTTGCGGGATTTCGAATGATAAGGAAGGCGTATCAGGGTCAGCCTTGTTTACGATTAATAATAATAATAATAATAATAATAATAATAATAATATAATATCCTGAAGTTGGTGGGTTCTGATTGATTCGGGAAGTGCAGCAGGGTCAGCCCTGGTTACTCAAAGTAATAATAATGATGATAATAATAATAATACAGTGTTCCCTTGCTACATAGTGTCCCTACTTTGCGGATTTTCACTTTTTGCAGGTGGTCCTGGAACGTATCACTCGCGATAAGTGAGGAAACATTGTATATATCTAAGTTGCTGAATTCTGAATGATTCAGGAAGCGCAGCAAGGTCAGCCTAAATAATACTCTAAATAATAATGATAATAGTAACAATAACAATAATAATCCCTAAAGTCACTGGATTCTGATTGATTTGGGAAGCGCAGCATTGTGAGCCTAAACAATTCCCTAAATAATAATGATGATGATAATAATAATCCCTGGATTGTGATAGATTCGGGAAGCGCATCATGGTCAGCCCGGGTTACCCTATATAACAACAATACCCAAAGTTGCTGGATTCTGATTGATTCGGGAAGAGCAGCACAGTCAACCCTGGTTACTAATAATAATAATAATAACAACAACAACCATCATCATCACACACACATCACACAGTCCTAGACGCTTGGAAAGTGTTCGACTTGTGATTTTGTGATACGAAATCCAGCATATAGATCTCGTTTGCTGTGACATACTGTGCTTTTGTGTCAATAATAATAATAATAATAACAACAACAACCAAAGTTGCTGGATTCCTACTGATTCAGGAAGTGCAGCAGGGCCAGCCGTGGTTGGGAATTGGATGGGAAGCCACTAATGAAAGCCAGGCTCTGTTTCAAGGGAAGAAAGTGGCCAAAGCCATCTCCAAGTCTTCCTTTCTTTAGAAAATCCTACAAAACCCATGAAATCACCATAAGATGATCATCAAAGGGGATGAGAAAGGAATGAGATGAACTTAACCTCCTAACGGAGGAAGGCAGAGAGCAAAAGATCTTGGATGCAAAGCAGGGTTAGGCTTGGTTAGGATCTGGATGGAAGACCACCAACAACCCTAGGCTCAGATTCAGAGGTTAAAACCAACACTGAAGATGCCTCAAAAATTCTATGGAATGAATAGGACCATCCGAAGTATCTTCAAGGCACAGAATTAGGATGTTTTGGGGAAAATTCTGAATATCTGCAG